ACAGAATATGGTTGAGCCTAGGGCTAGGCACGTTCCAACTTTTTCTAGCCGTTTCGTTAACGGTTAGTTCCAACCGTTAAAAAAAGAATAATTTCAGGATGCCATTAATTTAAAGGTAAGAACGGAACATTCGTTTCATTACAGCATTTGCCGTTTTTTTTTTTAAATTACCGTCTCAATTTTATTAATGACGGTAACAGAAAATGTTCAATAATCACTAACATCTCCAGTTGTTAACGGTATATTTTATTATTAATTGCGCGAAGTGCCAAAATAAAATCGTTAACGGTTAAAGAAATCGTTGATGGCCCAGCCTTTAACGGTCAATTGCAGTATTAACGGCGCAAAACGCCGTAGAAAAATTTGTTTATGATAATTAAATCGTTAGTGTTTAACAGTCTTTTGTAGTATTAACGGCGTTAAAGGTTTGTCAAATTGTTAACGGCACTAGCAGTTGAACTATATTTATCCTTTCTGCGGACTGAGTATTATCTAGATTTCCAAATCCATATTTATCCTATTCTGAGGAGAACCCAGATTCTTTCACGGCTGGACAACATTTTTTTTATCAAAATTTAAGGGTCCGGTACCGCGATCTTATCTCAGCATTTAAGGTTGTGAACACAGAAGACGACATTTAAAACATCAAAACATGTTAAAATTCTTTATCAAGTTTAATGCAATCTTAAGCAAAAAAAATAAATTCACAGTTTTAAAAATATCCGTTCCGATTTGGTTTTCAACCCTTAATTTTTTTCAAAAACAGGTAATCCGTTTCATTAAGGATTTAAAAATTGACGGTTTTTGCCGTTCGTTAAAGGACTTTTCTGTTAATTTTAGAAAACCTCCGTTCCATTAACGGAACTTTGCCCAACCCTAGTTGAGCCGCGAAACTTACAGTTACTTTGCCAAATTTCTTTTTGGCGTGTTCTCTTTATCTGGCAAAGATAACTCGTCATAAATTTACATTATTACCCTTTCTAGGTGATAACCAAAAAACTCTGGAATAGTAAGACGACTTTTAGAATCAAGTTTTAAAATAAATAAATATTTAAGATTTCCCATACACAAAATTGACAAAACTGTTGTGTTTCTAAAAAATGTTTACTTCCAAGAGCTGTAAATTTAAAATATTAAAATAAACTATATGAGTCAAGTCTTTGAATGTGTGTGCGAAGCGCAAAAGAAAAATTCTGTTCTTCTGAGTTCTAGTGTCTTATTTTCCCCATATTTGATAGTATATCTTTTTATCTGTTTCTTATCGTCAGTTAGCCCCTGGCTTAATCATATCACTATGTGAATAAAGTCCCCTATTATAGTCTACATCAAATAGATTCTAGTACAATAGATGGCAACGTAGAATTTTTACACTCTCAGTACAGTTGTATTCTGTCGTCACAAGTGTCAATTCAGTTTTTGTGTCCGACAAAATCATCAATAATAGTGATAATTTTAGAATAAAGTGCTTTTCTTATAGTAAAATAAGTGCAATTTTATGTGTTCTTTAGTTTCTGTTTTTATTTCATCTTGGGAAACATGTCAACTAATGTGAGAAAATTTCGTTTTCCTTGTTATATTTGACACTTGTGACGTCGTGTATAATTGGTTAATTTATCTGTTGCCACCTATTGTACTTGATAATCTATTAGGTCTACATTAATTTTTTTATTCATCCACTATGTACAGTATGTAGTCCTTTTTGTCCACTATATAGTCCCTTTAGTGTAGGTTTGTGTAGTGTAAATAGTTCCTGCAAGTACCTTGTCACTATCTTTCGTCTGTTTTAACAATCAGACTAAATATAGTCTCCCTGTAGTCCCTCAGTCTAATTGTTTTCTAGCAAGGGAGCTATACCCCTTTACTTCTCTTGTAGCCTGCAAAAGTCCAGTTAGGCGGATAGAATCCTTGTTATATCTTGATATTCTTCTAATATAATATGCAATTTCTTAGATCATCAGTTTTATGTACCCTTAGATGTCATGTTATTTAAATATATGGTTTTTTTAGGAGAGGGGGGGAATAAAGTGACTTTTTTCAAATTGAAAAGGAGAACATAGTAAGAATTTCTGTTGTAAATGATGCGCGAAGCGCACAAAGAAAAATGTTTTTTCCCCTAATAATTCGCCATTCTTTCATTCCATTCTGCAGGGGGGGGGGGGGCTTAGTTGCGCCTCTGCTGAGTCCCTCCCTCCTCTTTCGTCTCTCTTATCTCTTCCTCAATTTCTCACAAATGTTTGTAATTTTAAAATTTTGGTTATTAGATATTTGTTTAATCAGTGTGGAGTTACAAGATGTATTCTCTAATCAAGGAAAGGGTATGAATATCATAATATAAAAGAATACTTTTTTGACTGTTTTGACGCGAAAGTTTCCCATGTAGCCGTATACTTTAACTTTTCTGTGTTTTTCTTTCACACTTAAAAAAAATTATATTTAATGAGGGGGGGGGAGGCCTTACAACCTTTATTCTGTATTCTTTCAAATGAATATATATTAATTAATGAATATATATATGACGATTCATGCAAAGATAGCATTGCCCGATTTACAACGGTACCCATTATCTGATCAAAATTGTTGAAGAGAACCATGGTATTCTGACTCGGAAAAGTATTTTTTTTTCTGTGAATGTTTCCATTGCTTCTTATAAGCAAGAAGTGCGCCAGGCACTTTCAAATAGAAATCACAAGTGAAAATAGACAGTTTAAAGAAACAAAACATGTATATCTAATTCATACTTGATCTAACAGTTTTAGGGGTACCGTTATAATCAGGCATTGACATATTTCCATGGATGGTCACTATATTGATTTCCTTTAAGGATGACCGGTTATTCAGATGGTGTTACTTGGTAGATTTTCTTACAGTTTAACAACAGATGAAAGGGGGAGGAGAGAGTGTGGTTTAACTGAAATAGATTGAAGTATTATTGCAACAATTTAACATTGATTTTAACAATTTTTATAATGATTAAGTACTTATAGAGTGTCATCTACTAAGAAAAGAAATCAAAGTATGTCTTCATTAGCGTCCAAAGTTGGTTTAAGCCTTAATGAAGCTATACTCAGGGTCCAGGCATATACATTCAAATTCGCTTTATATGGCGTGCGCGCAACAATTGGAAACTTACATATTCAATATAGTAAAAAATGGGAAAAGATGAAATGCCTAATTTCATAACAGTCACTTAAAATTACACATAAAGTCCCTTTCAGAGGTTTTTCTTCTTGTGCAACATAATCAATCAGAAAACTTTGAACTTTCTTTATGTAATTCCGTAGTTCAGAACCAGATAGACATGAGAATAGAAGATTCTAGATCAAAGATTAAACAGATAAGACAAGAGAGGTAGTCGGAAAATTTTTCAGAACCATACAAAGATGAGAATAGAAGATTCTAGATCAAAGAATAAACAGATGAGACAAGAGAGGTAGTCGGAAACTTTTTTAGAACCATACAGACTGAGAATAGAGAGTTCTTCGATGTGATTGAATCTTGAAAAAAATTCATTTAAAATTCGATGATGGTGATGGACCAAATTTTTAAAAAATAGGCTGTCAAATGGACAGAAGGGAAACGAACTCAGATTATGAGATGGAAAAAAGATAATTTGCAAATATTCACTTTAAAAAAAATGTTTTAAGATTATTATTATTCCTTGAGATTGTTTCTGTCAGGAAGATTAAAAACAAACTGTTTATATGTATGTGTATAAAGTGGTGATGGGGGTCGATCTAATTAACGAACTTTTACGTAAATCGGGGGGAGGGGGGCCGGCTTGTTTAAAGAGGGGTATTTAAAGAATTGGACATAAAAAAATACTCTTTTTTAAAATCATATCTAAAACAATATTCTTTTTTTTTCAATCATATCTAAAAGACCATAAATGTTTTGCATTTGTTCGTAAGATTAAAACTAGAGGAGGTACGAGGTTACAAATTCGTACTGGATCTTGGGAAAAATTAATTTTTTAAAAACTCCTATTTCTTTGATTATTGCGCTGACCAAGTTTCTGAAATAACTAGAGCTAATAGTAAAAACTATTTCAAGTTGACAATTAACCAATTTGATACAGACGGCTTAAGAAACAAAAAATGCCCTTCTCTTAATTTTATAACTTGAAATTTAAACGAAATTTTCTGAAATTTTAAAAGTACAATAAAGGCAGACTACATTTAAGAAATGCGAGGACTAGAGGGCTAATTTATAAAAATTGGTTTAAGTATTATTTTAGTAGAATTAGGTTTACGGATGAATGCCGCAAACCATTTTAAACACGGTTTAATTTAATACAATTAAAGAGTATACACCTTGGTTATAACACAAAAGGAATGAGTCTGTTTTTCTAATTCCTACATCTTTGCAACCTGTTGTAATCTGTTAGATCCAAGTTTGAAATATCAAAGGCTCACGCCTTCTGGTTGCTAGGGTATAGGGGTTAAAAACTTGAGATTGTAGCAAAGGCTCACTTCCTTTTATCTGGGACACGTTCTTGAACATTTTTTATTAAAAAACTGTATTTTTTACAAACAAGAATGATTTATTATTCCAACCCTGTTTGAGAGGGGAATAAAGTTATAATGGATTCCAGAGTCCAGATTGGGAACTGTCAAGTTCAAACTTATCATTATCATCATTATACAACTTTTAGAAAATAAATATAAATAGGTAAGCTATAAACTAATAATAAATATAAATAGGTAGCTATAAACTAATAATAAATATAAATAGGTAAGCTATAAACTAATAATAAATATAAATAGGTAGCTATAAACTAATAATAAATATAAATAGGTATGCTATAAACTTATAATAAATATAAATAGGTAAGCTATAAACTAATAATAAATATAAATAGGTAAGCTATAAACTAATAATAAATATAAATAGGTAGCTATAAACTAATAATAAATATAAATAGGTATGCTATAAACTTATAATAAATATAAATAGGTTAGCTATAAACTTATAATAAACATGCCAAGGATCTTCTCATCAAGGTTCCTGAACTAACTCATCCTCGTCCATCTGCACCAATCTCCATTGCTGTCGATGCCTCAGATTCTCACGTTGGCGCCGTGCTACAACAGAGGATTCAGGATGCCTGGGCTCCGTTGTCATTTTTCTCCAGGAAGTTGTCAGAAGCTGAGAAGAAATACTCCGCCTTTGACAGAGAGCTCTTGGCTGCCTATCTGTCCATCAGACATTTCCGCTTCATGTTAGAAGGTAGAGATTTTTTGTTATATACCGATCACAAACCTCTAACATCTGCCTTGTTAAGGAGTTCTCCGCCCTGGACGAGTAGACAGCAGAGACATCTGACCTACATTGCAGAATTTACAAGTTCCATTGTGCACGTGCCTGGCCTGGAGAACATTAAATAGGTATGCTATAAACTTATAATAAATATAAATAGGTTAGCTATAAACTTATAATAAATATAAATAGGTAAGCTATAAACTTATAATAAAAATAACTAGGTAAGCTATAAACTTATAATAAATATAAATAAGTAAGCTATAAACTTGTAATAAATATAAATAGGTAAGTTGTAAACTAACAATAAATATGAATAGGTAAGCTATAAACTTAAAATAAATATAAATAGGAAAGCTATAAACTTAAAATAAATATAAATAGGTAAGTTGTAAACTAACAATAAATGTAAATAGGTAAGCTATAAACTTATGATAAATATAAATAGGAAAGCTTTAAACTTATAATATATAGATAGGTAAGCTATAAACTTATAATAAATATGAATAGGTAAGCTATAAACTAATAATAAATATAAATAGGTAAGCTATAAACTTACAATAAATATAAATAGGTAGCTATAAACTTATAATAAATATAAATAGGTAAGCTATAAACTTATAATAAATAACTTATAATAAATATAAATAGGTAAGCTATAAACTAATAATAAATATAAATATGTAGTTGTAAACTTATAATAAATATAAATAGGTAAGCTATATAAACTTATAAAAAATAATTTATTAAATCAAAAGTATGCAAAGAAGTATTGTTAAGGGACATAAAGTGGCATTCATAAATGTACCCAATTTCAATCCTCATCAAAAAACTAATTGTTGGGAAGAAAATGTAAAAAAAATACTTAAGGTTTGGTCCAGGTTCATTTATTCATTTCAAATATTTTGTTAGATAGAAAACGACAATATCTCCTCATTGTTTCTCATATAGATAGGGCATCCTTGTTATGTTTACAGCCCTTAAAGAATGTAAAAAATACCTGAGATTTTCAAAAAATTTATACATTTTATAGAAATGATAAATGATTTTTCATTCTTTTGTTCAACTTTATAAATAATCTTTTAGAGAAAGAAAAATCTATTTTTAGCAAATTTTAGATACAAAAAAGAAAGATTTATCTTAATCAAATAAAGAAATTTCCTAAGTAGAGTCAGGCTGATCTAATCATTAAGCCGAATATTAAATTGACTGCAATGTTTTAATTGATATCACCCAGCTTGGTTGGTTTTGTAAAAATATTTTTTTTAAAAGAGATTTTTTGTCCCCAGGACATGATCGGGTTGTTACGATCAAATCTCGGAATTTTTTCTATTGCGAAAGTTTGGTGTTGTCTGGGTTTTTATATTGATCTACCAGGGGTTGTAATCTGGCAGCACATTCATCCATCCACGCTTCATTCATTCTGAGAAGAGGGTTGNTTATTACTCATAATCATTACGAAATTTCGCGAAATTACGTTGTAGAAATTACGCGAAATTACGCCGTAATTTCGCGAAATGGATATTTCCCCAATTACGCGTAATCCTGCGAAATTACACGAAATGAAAATTATTACGCGTAACTGCACGTAATTACGCGTAAGAGAATAATCTATTACGTTGGAAACCCTAGTTGTTGACAGCCGCCCCTCTGTCCTCCTACATCCGTCAGGTGGTCATAACTGCTAAACCAGATGTCAGCCTCAGATGTTTTTGAAACCACAGGTTTGTGTGGAGTACGGGAATCGAACCCGTGAACACCAGTCTGGGCACCAATCCAGTTACTAGCTGTGGACAAGTGTGCTTAACTTCAGTGATCTAACGAGAACTGGTGTCGCACAATAAAATATATATCTTTGTAAAAGAATAAAAACCAAATATAAAGCACAAAATTGCTACTTTTTCTGATTCCTTAAGAATAATATTTCAAACATTGATGATGATAGGGAGGGGGGGGGGAGGGCAAAATGTAAATTACTCCTTTAAACTAAAGCTAAAAATATGTGGATTTATAATGTTTATTTCTAGGGCTACACAAAAATATACATTTAATTTTACACATAAAATTATTTTCATAAAAAGTTTAAAAACTACTGAAAAAGATTAAATACAAGTTTAAGGACTTTGTTTGCAGAAATCAACTCTCGGAGAAAAGGAATTTTCCTTCTCCATTGAGAAAAGAATTGTCAGTTCAAAGGATTTTGATTTTCCTTCAACTTCGTTACAGAGAGGGCATTTTAATCCCCTTAGTGTGTGTTGGGGGGGGGGGGGGGGCACAACACATTACTGTATAGTGGACTTTTAGTATTACAAGATTATACAGGGTTACCCACAAAGGATTCGACTTCAGAGACGACTCTACAGAACGTATGCTGATTTTTTATACACATTCGGGTTTAGTAGCTGGAAACCTTTGGTGCCTAATCATTGAGCAGACTTTCTGAACAACTCTGAAAGTTTATCATCAAATATTTAGACAGCCTCGACTTTAAAGTGTTGCAACGCCTCAACCCCTTTGGTTTTACCTCACAAACTCACCAATACTTTTTTGTAGCCCTAGACATAATCATTTCAAAAATGCAACGAGTTTGTTTCTATTTCGGGCTTTAAAGGAGTAATTGGCAATATTTTTGCATGAGAGCGTGCAGATCTTGGTTTTCAGTGATTTGTAGTGCAAAATACCAAATATACAACCTTTTAAATGTAATATATATTTAAAAGTTGTTTTCGTCGTCATTAAGGTATCATCCTTTGTGGGTAACCCTGTATCTAAATACATAATAACTTTCGATAGTATATTATTGAATTATGTTCGAGGTCTACTGAATAATTTTGGTCATTATTACACGATATATCCACATAAAGAAATTGAGTCTTTGCCAAAAACTCAAATTTTCTAATGTCAATATCTTTGCAACCTGAAAACGTAAACCTTTGATATTTCAAACTTAGATCATCTGATCTAACCAAATCCATAGTTTGAAATAGCTAAGGTCTATGCCATTGGGTTTTTAAAATATAGCGATTAGAAAATCAGAGTTTGTGGCAAAGATTAAATTCCTTTCACTAGAATGGGATCATTCATTCGGCGTACTATCCCGGTTTGCCGGACGTATAGTTTATAAATGTACTGTACAGTTTGCTCTAGATGGTGACAAGTTGGCCTGGTACTTGAAGTACGTGTAACAGACATATCGGATATTTTAAATAATCTTAATTTAGATAAAACGGAATTAAATTTTTCCAAGTAAACTCTGATTTTCAAATCCCTGTATCTTTGCAATATGATGTGAATAGACCTTTTGATATTTCAAAATGTCTACGTTTGTAATATCACACCATCAGATTGCAGTGTATGGCAAAAACACTTTTCCTTTTTTAAGTCCTATATCTTTGCAACCTTAAATATTTTAAACTCAGATTATTTGATCTAACAGGATTCATAGTTTGAGTTGGAAACTAACAAGGATTAGAAAATCAGAGTTTGTGGCAAAGGCTTATTAATTTGATCATATTAGAAATATATATATAATAGGTGTTTCTGAGTAATAAACTGATCCAACACATATCTATAAAAATATATTTGTGACAATATTTATGTGTACTTAAAGAATTATGAATTTCTGATTTATTTGTTGTTTCCGCTTACAGGGTTGAATTAGGTTTAATCCTTGTATATATTCATGATTGAAATTATAATTATAATTATAATTATAACTTTAAAACAAAGTTAATCAAAGCCTAATTGTAGAGGGGTTAAAAGGTACACAAAAGTTGAAAAGTTTCCTACTTTTGATATAAAAATCAGATATTTTAACAAAAACAAATTGAATTTTTCTTAACACTAACCAAAATCTGATTTTTCTTGTTAAAAACATTTTTATTTGACAGAGCCTAGAAATCCTTGGAGATGCCTTGAAGTAAATAGATTACCATGGATTAAGGTTTAAGCGGAAAATTCTTTTCACATTTTTCTTTTTAAAAGAATTAGATTAAATCCATGTTTCACAACAAAGCTAAAATGAATTCAAGATAAATGAAGAAATAGAAAGGAAAATCAAAACCAGCGAGGTGGGGGAGAGAGAGAGATATTTTTCAGAAGTATTTCAATATTTTACCCTATCATACAAAATTGGAATGTTATAATTTTAGTACACCATTCAATGCACGTTCTTAATAATTCATACTCAATGTGCGTCCTCCATTTGATTCCTGATAGAAATTGCGTCCTCATCTTTTATGTGAATCTTCATTCCTTTATAAAAAGTATGCAATAATTTGTATTAAATCCTGAGTCTAAAACTAAAGAACGAAAAGTTTGACTTAAATTTTAAGTTCATGGTTAAATGCCTTAATTTAAACCTGAACTTTAACCGTGAGGTTAAATATTTAACCCTGTGGTTAAATATTTAACTCGCCGAAATCGACGAGTTAAAAAATTTAAACACAGGGTTAAAATCTTGAAATCCCGCAATCCCTATTTGTCTATCATCATTCAGCGGTAATCGACTTTCAACTAATTACGAAATATTTAAAAGCAAAAACCTTAATTTAATGAAATTTTACGTTTTAGATTAATTAATGTTTGCACGTAAACTCAAAATACTTTTGTAACTGGAAATATGTTTTGTTTTCCGTCACGTAAATATTTAAAATTTAAAAACAGCTGATTACCGAATACGGATGCTTACGTAATAATTCTTTAAATCCTTTTCTCTGATTGGTTCAGATTTTCCCCGGGAAATTCAACTTTGAAATTGAGAAAGTTTAATATTTAAGTAGCTATTCATTATTTTACAGAACTTTTAACCTCGAACTTAAAATTCGCGCATTCTTTAGTTTTAGACTCTGCTGATCTAAAAACTTAATTATGTATGTTAAACCAGCTTATTACATAGGAATATCAATTACTGTATGAAAATCTATAATTAGAGGTTAAAACCTCCTTGGGATTCATTAATAAACAATTGGGCTACACCCTCGGGTTTATCATTCACTCCTGTATGCCGAGTTCATTAGCGCCTGATCCAATCAGGGTTCAGTCATGTGTTTGTTGTCTATTCTGAACCAATAGAAATAGTATGGCGGTTAACATCTATCTTTCTATCTATCTCATTATCAAATCAGAT